GCAAAGCGCCTCCACATGAATCGGACAAATCTCAGCAAAGCCCGCGGGCGTGGCCTCAAAGAGTTGAACCTGAGACCTGGAGGGAGCATACCCCTAGGCCCCAAGCTGCACCCACGAGGCCAACCCCTTGGGGTTACCCCTACGGGCTTACTTACTCGAGTTAAAAAGGCTATGGACTCAAGCGAATCTCACATGTATATCCTTCCCAAGACTCCCATTGTTTAACACAAACACTCGAAGCTTACTGAGGCAAGAGCCCTGACTACTAGGTAAAGAGCTTGGAAAGCTGTCATGGGTAAGCCTCAAATATGGGTCAATTAGGTCGATGGTCACAGGGCTTCTCAAAATCACAAGATTTTCTCAAGACACACTTGTCACGATGTAAGTGTTGCGATTCCAGAGAGTAGATATTTTTGCAATATAAAGATGAGTGCATGCAACAATACTCGAGAATGTATAATATCATGTTCCAGCACAGACACCAAATCAATTGATGCACACAAAATCCAAAATAGAGTTATACCAAAAATCAACAATATGCAAGATTTTGGTATCACACAAAAATGCAAAAATAAAATAAAAAACACACAAGTAATCAAATTAAGTCCTAACATACATGAATGTAATGTCAACTTTAGATGAATGGAAAATAGAGATAAGATTAATCTCCATCTTAGCAAAATGTCTAGCTACAACAAGCCAAACAACCAACACCCTTGGCCTCTAATGTACTCAAAAAAGAAATTAAATTTTATTGTTCAAACTAAGCTGACATATAACTCAATTAGCTGCTCACATACATTCTTATCTAGGAGGTTAAGGGATCAATCATTGTCATATGTAAAAAATAATTGTTTTTATATCTGTAATTAATGTCCTATCAATTGGCAAAAAACTAGGGGTTTTATAAGAGGGCTGTTAAATGCTCCTACTTTTTTTTCTTTGGACCCCCATTTTTTTAATTTTATTTTATTACAATTTTGTCCTAACATCAAATTTCAATTTTGTCCCCATCCATATCCTCCCAAGTCTAACCCTAAACCCTAACCCTAACCCTAACCTATGAAGCACGGACACCTCTCCGGAGGTCGTGTACAGGTGTCTGGCACGTATCGGACACAAACACGCTCTGGACATGTGTCAGACACATTGGGACACTTTGGACATACTGCAGACACTTTGGAGCACGCTGAGGACACGCAAGGGACACGTTGAGGACATGCTAGGGACATGCTGAGGACATGCTAGGGACACTCTAGGAACACAATGAGTATTAGTTTTTTCAAAAAAAATTTTATAATTTTTAACTTTTTTACTAAACTAGCATACCTAAGATTGATAAATTTATTAAAATTAAATATGTGACATAAAATACATAATAAATATTTAAAAATATACATATAATAAAAATATAAAAATATATATTTTGAACGTGTCCCCAACATGTTGTGTCCTACATTTTTTAAAAATTTACGTGTCTGCATGTCCATGGACACTTTGGAGCACGCTGAGGACACGCAAGGGATACGTTAAGGACACGCTAGGGACATGCTGAGGACAAACTAGGGACACTCTAGGGACACAATGAGTAATAGTTTTTTCCAAAAAAAAATTATAATTTTTAACTTTTTTACTAAACTAGCATACCTAAGATTGATAAATTTATTAAAATTAAATATGTGACATAAAATACATAATAAATATTTAAAAATATACATATAATAAAAATATAAAAATATATATTTTGAACGTGTCCCCAACATGTTGTGTCCTACATTTTTTAAAAATTTACGTGTCTGCATGTCCATGTCGTGTTTGTGTCCATGTCTGTGCTTCTTAGACCCTAACCCTAATCTCACCACCACTTCCACTCACACCGAGACCTTCTAGCGACCAACCCACCACCACTTCCACTCTCGCCGACAGCCACCACTTCCATCTTCATCCTCCTCCTCCTCCTCCCACCAAAACCCTAACCCTAATTCCATCACCACCCACCACTGTCAACCACAACTTCTGAGTGAAACCCTAGCCGCCAAACCCTAGCCATCGTGAGAAAGAGAGATCGAGCAAGCGAGCGAGAGAGAGAGAGGCGACCTCTCCTCCATCTTCGGCGAATTTGCCACCACTGCAACCCAGACATTCGACCAGAACTTCTTCGTAAAACCCTAGCCATCGTGAGACGGAGAGAGATCGAGCGAGTGAGAGAAATCGAGCAAGAGAGAGAGAGGCGACCTCTCCTTCCTTAAACCCTAGCCACCTCCGTCGCCGTCACGATCTGCGATCTCAAACCTAGCGGTCACCATCGAGATCTCAAATCCTAGCTACCTACATATGATATGTGTGTGTGTGTGTGTGTGTGTGTGTGAGAGAGAGAGAGAGAGAGAGAGAGAGAGAGACTATGTATGAAGAAGATGAAGGCGAAGGAAAGGGCTGCGGCGGCAGAAAGAGGGTAGAGAAGGAAATGGCGGCGGTAAGAAAGGGGTGGCACCTTCAGAAAAGGGTGGCGCCGCCGGAAAGGGGTGCCAACAACAATGAGAGTTTGCAAAGAAAGGGAATGGAGAAAATGGGGGTTTGGGGTATATTTAAGATTAAGGTAGGGGTCCAAAAAAAAATGAAGAAGGGAGCAATTTGGTGATGGGGGTTCAAAGAAGTAGGGTAGGGTCCTAAGAAGGGGCACCTAGCAACCCTCGTTTTACAAACCTTAAAACTTGCACACCTACTAATATGTAAGGCAAAATGTAGACAGCACAAATAGAATACTATGTTGTTGGACTTTTTTCTTTCGGCTCTGCTAATACTTGGTAGTTGGTAAGAGAACAAAGCACAGTAAAAGCACAACAAACAAACTACACGATTTGGGAATGGTTAGCTTCCAAATTAAGCTTAAGAAACCTTCATATAATAGTAACTTAGTAAGGGTCATCATTTGGCCCAGACTCGTATCTCGAATAGGTCTGAATGAGGCATGGGTTGAAGCTAGACTTGGGGTTGGAAGCTTGGCTCGGTAGATTGTGAGAGGCAATCTGTTAGCCTGGCCCATGTTCGTATTCTAGGCGAGACTAAATAGGCTTGGGAACTGAAGCTCACCCATGATCAATTGCCTCATGATTACACTTAACAAAATAAAGAGGCAGAATAAAGATATACAACAGAAAGGTCGGATGAAGAGACGATAGATGAACAACAAAAAGAGAGACGCAAAGGCATTGGAGGTATAGGTGTATGTTTGGGATTTGTCAGCCTTATCTATTTAAAGAGCAAAAATGTTATCGGGTTGACGAAAATAAAGAATTACCTAAATCATAATTTCCTTGTCATCTACGTAATCGAGGCCACTACAAAACACTCTTAAAAAGCAAACTAAGTTATCTTTTCAAGTATTAGTTGCTAAACTAGCCTAATATCTTTATATATTTATAGACAAAAGTAATAATAAGAATAAATTAAATTGTAATAAACCATAAAGTATGGGAACTTCGACAAATATGGCACTTTGCATGATACTTCTGCATACATACAGAGTACATGAAACACATCCAATTTTTCTTTTTTAAACTTTTGTTGTATCTTAAAAGTACCGAGTATATACCTAGGTTGTACCTCAACCAAAATAGTATTTTTTTTCTATACAAAAGTGAAGTTAGTTTTATTGAACCTTTTTTTATAACTAGCATTATTATAAAATTAAGTTTTAGCTTATAAGTTATTTAATATAATGACATTTAATTTTGGTTTAAAACTTTATTTTGGAATTAAATGTGGATTGTTGGTTGAATAACCAAGAAAACTATTTAACTAATTTTTGCATTACTTTAAATAAAAAATAAATATTTTTTTATAAACAAACCAAACCATACCCATATCCTATTTTTTTAGATTTACCGTATTGATTTACATATACCTGTATCCATACCCGTACCGTACCCGCACCCGCAACACACGTGTTTCACAAGTCATGAAATATTTTTCAAATGTATAAACAACCAATTGAAGTTACTAAAAAAACTAATGTGCTTGAAAAATTGTTTAAAAGGTTACCTTTTCATGAGTGGAAAAAACTAAATTACTTTTTGATTTTTTTTTTTTTTTTTAAAACTAAGATGACAAACAAACTTTAAATATATGACCACTTCTACTCAATGCCATGGCTTGAAATTTTGTTTTGGGCATACAATAATTAAAATTAATGTTACACATATACCTCATCGCCTTCATACACGTCTTCTGCAGTGACATGTCAACCATCATGAACTCCTTGTTATGCCTTTGATCGACTCAAGCACAAGCTCTTATAACAAACTGATGCAGAAAAAATGTGAAGAAACAAAATTCGCAGCAACAAGTTCACGACAACTCTTCTATGATTTTGTTGATTCCTAAGAATACTAGAATAATAGAGAAAAGAAAGAAAAACTCTCAGTAAAGTCTGTAATATTGATCAACTTATGAGATTAAGACAATACCAATTAGAAACCTAATAATTCTAGACTATTTATACTAAATAAAAATATTTATAATCAAATAATAACACCTAAAATCATAAAAATAAAATTATATAATTCCTAAAAGCTGGTCTATATCATATTCACAATTGTAGCCGTACATCGGTGACTTATAAATGCCGGATGTTGGCTTTTGGGGTGTACAGATTTCTTAGCCTACAACAATGCATGTTGTTTTAATAATAAATTTTGCTTATCCAAAAAAAAAAAAACTTAATTTTACTTCAAGACTAGTCCAATTGTTCAATTGCATACAGACAACTTAATTATGCTTCCAGGTTCTGATTTCAAACAAACCCATCAACGATGCTACACAAATTTGTTAAAAATAGAAAAAAAATTCGGAGACTTTTGTTAGGCAAAAAGTAAAGCAAATGCGTAGATCACTTTTCCTTTTCACAAAACAATAAAAATAATAATAAAACACTGAAAAACAAATGAGGGAAAAACAAGCGTAGAGAAAGAGGGAGAGGGTTTGGACGAAACGAGACCAACCTGGTCAAAGAGCCCTCGTTTAGCAGTCTCACCCCACAATCGAAGCAAGCTGAGAGCGACGCCGCCGGAAAACACGGCGGCGAATATGTCGCCGACGACCGGGTTTTCAGAGAACATGGATGCAACCGGCGTTGACGTCAGATTCCGGCGAACTCTTTGGGGTTTCGGATTCCGGAATCTGAGTCTGAAACTGGAGAGACTGGCGGCGCCGGCGGAGAGAGGAGGAGAAGAGATCGGACGGCAGAGAAGAGGGAGGTAAGGTCGGAGGGCTGAGATTGGAGTCCGATTGGTGAGGTCGGGTACGAATCGGGTCAGCCAGAGCTCAGCTAAGACAGCAGTAGTTGTTCCCATGGCAAATGCTCCTTTAAAAACTGCTCGCCGCCTACTGGGCTATAATAATTCGTGTAAAATATCAGAAATTACATTGTAAAAATTGCACACCCATTTACTATATAAATTAAAAAAATTCAAAATTAATAAAATTATATTATATTATTTATTAATGTATTAATTAATATATCAATCAATGGGTATAATTTTATTTTTATTCTATAATAAGGAGGAAGACCAACTAACTAAACCTGGGTTTGGCTATTATTTTGAGACTAAAAAAACATATAAAATGACAAAATCAATTAAATAAATTAATAAGATAAAATATCACATTCAACTCATAATTAATATATTTTTTTCTCATAAAAATCAAAAAAAATTAAAAATTCAAACTAAACAAGACTAAAAAAAATAAATTAAAAAATTAGTTATATTAATCAATGTCAAACGAAGCATAATGTAATGTAATTATTAACTCTTCTTGATTGGGTACACTGTCAACAGAATTTTTTCCAAGACAAGATAATTTCTCATAACACGCAATCATGATGCAAATTTTTTTCGGTGATTTTTTTGTGGTTTTTTTAAGATGAAAAAAAATTAAAATATTTGACAATAAATCTTTTTTTGTTTTTTATATATTTGACAATAAATCTTTTTTTGTTTTTTTAAATAAAAATAAATAAACAGAAACAAAAATATTTCTTTAATTTTTTTTTATGACCTTTTTAGCTTTTGACTTATTACTAGACCGTGTTATTAGATCAACATGCCCATTACAGATATCTTAATAGAGTAATGTTAGAAACTCTAAATATTCTATCAAAAATTTTACCAAATATCTCACACGGGTGTGTGACCCACACAATGTGGGTCCCAAATGGGTCTCACAACCATGTGAGACATTTGGTAAAATTTTTGGTAGAATTTTTGAGACCTCTAATATTTTTGATCTTAATAATCCAAACTGTTCACTTTGTAAAGCTTTTCGTGAAGATTATTCATATCAAAGACTACTTTGATCAAAAAATAGTAATCAGACAATCAAATATCAGATATGTTTTCAAAACATAAATGGGTCTACTTTGAAAGTCAAATTTATTTTCTAACTTTTTAAAATAAATTAGATTTTATTTTTTTATCAATCAATAGGAAAATAATTATAAATATGCGACATATTTATATCATCAAACAAATCACTAATCCATAATAGCTGTAAAAATAACAAAGTCTAACACAACTAGGACTACAAATAAATAGAATTGTTCGTAAATATACTCGAACTTGGTTCGATAGTTACTCAGGTCTCGTTTGGTAAGTTAACATTTTAGTCAAAAAATTATTAAAAAAGTCAAAAGGCCTATAACATATATAAAAAAGTCAAAGATTCTCTTTTCTTTCTACTTTTTGCATATCTTTTTGTAAAAAGTTAAAAAGTCACTCCAAACATACTAGTTTTTTTAATCTCATATTTTAGCGAAAAAGCCAAAACGTTAATAAAATAGCATGTTCCCAAACGAGGCCTTCAAATTTGATTCGTTAAATTTTTATTGCATCAAACTTAAATTCGAACTCGTTAAATCTTACTAAATAACTCAAACATACTAAAGGTCAGCTCGTTAGTTTGTCTAGTTAGTTAGACTCAGTTATTTAAATAATATAAATGTAAATAGAGCAGCTAAATTTATTTATATGTATATAATAGCTAATTATAGATAATACATTTATATAATAGTGGTGATAGATATTATTATTTTGCTAAGATATTAATTTTTTTTAGTATGCTTATATATATATATATATATATATTGTATATATAATTGTATAATCAAAGTTTCAATTATAATTTTAGTCTCATATTCAAGTATGAATTTATAATTTTTTTGACTTTTTAAGGTTCAAGTTTGAGTCAAGTCTAAGCCAACTCGACTTGAACTCAGGTCGTTAAATTTTTATTAAGTTTGAATTATTAAAATCTTAATAAACAAGCTCAAATATATTATAACTCGATTTATATAACTCGATTCGGCTCGTTTACAATCCTAAACACAACTACCAAACCAAACCCTACAACCACTATTAATTACACTGGATGAGAAATAAACAATCACAAAAGGACATTAAGGGGGTGTTTGGCATGTGCTAAACATTATTCTATTTGTATCACAATTATCTTATTTTAGTCACATCATCTCTTTATCACATCACTTCAAATCTAATCCATATTTCATGTTTTTTCGTAAAAAATTAAAAAAATATATATAATCATCCCAAATATCCCCTAAACTTCTTTTTCATATAAATTAAAGGATAAATTACACTTTGACCCTTAATGTTCGTTTTTTTTTTTCCACTTTGACCCTTTATCTTTTAAGATGTTTTTTTTTTTTTTCAGTTTACTCCTAAAGCTAATTTCTGTTAAAAATTAGACAAAAAATAACACATTAATAGTCACGTGGCATACAAATATGTTATTATATATAAGTCACATCACTGACATAAACTTAAATCCCAATATAATAATATATTTGTTATATTATGTGACAGTTATTATGACATTTTTTGTTTAATTTTGAAAATAAGTTAACTTTAGGAGTTAACTGGGAAAAACTTAAAACATAAAAGGCCAAAGTGGAAAAAAAAAAAAAACTTCAAGAGTCAAAGTAAAAAAGTGACTAAACATAAAGAGAGCAAAGTGTAATTTACCGTAAATTAAATTCAACATTTTACACCACGAAAATTGTTATACAATCACCACCAAATACCCTTATTAAATTAAATATAATCATGTAATTATAAATATTTAATTAATGTGAAATTAAAAAAATGACCAATTGAAATTAAAAATAACAATATGAGACATTTTGAAAACATGAAAAAAAGCTAACTTATTGGTTTATTAGTTTATTTGAATTATATCATATCTTTATTTTTTTTATAAATTTATAAAAAAAAATTTTAAAAAGTCAGTAACAATATGAGACATTTTGAAAACATGAAAAAAAGCTAACTTATTGGTTTATTAGTTTATTTGAATTATATCATATCTTTATTTTTTTTATAAATTTATAAAAAAAAAATTTTAAAAAGTCAATAACTTAGCTCTTTTTTTTAACTTTCTAAAACAAGTCATAATAGTTCGATTCAATTAAACCTGTCAATTCAAGACAAGGAAAAATTTTAATTACTGGAATAAAATAAAATAAAAAATAAGTTTAACTACAAGAAGAAGAAGAAAAAAAAAAGATTCAAAAAATTTGAAAACTAATTTTGAAAATTTATAACCAATTAAGTTTTGATTTTTTAATTTTTAAAAATTACTTTTAAAATATTCAATTCGAAACTAGTTTGAAAAATTATAACTAAATCCACCCAATTTGTTCCATGACCACCAAAATGGGTCCCCCGGGCCATGAGGAGATTCTGTAGTTCAGATGAGATCTGAACCGTCAGACTAGTCTCTGACTTAGAGGACAAGAACTTTATTAAACATTTTTGTCGTGAGTTCAGATTTGTCTGTGGATGGATGCTTGGGCGGGATTGTCTCAATCCGAACTTGTGGATTTCATTTGGATAATTTTTTTATCAGAGAGTTTCTCTCCGGTTGGATATTTTAATTGGAATGTTGTTGAATTTTTATAGATTCATTATGAAATTTATATTGATAAATCAAATTATATATTAATAATCATTTGATCAAATTACATTTGCATACATAATTTATTTTAAAAATTATACTTATTGTTAACATAAATATGATTTGATCAAATATTTATCGATATTAAATTAATATAATTTTTTACAGGAATGAAATACTCTGCATTGAATAGTTCGGTTTATCGATATATAGATTCCGTAGTGAACCTGAGAAGACCCAATAGCATCCTCCACTCCAGTTTGGATGGGAGAGATAACTTCCCTTTTTTATTCCTATAAATTACAAATATGGGTTTTGTTATCTCCCTTGTTTTGTCACTCCTAATTACACCTCTAAAAAGATTTCCAACGCTTACACGTTTTTTTTTTTTTATCTAATTTGAGTAAAGATTTAGATTAAAAGTTTCATTTAAATACCAAACGTTCCAATGCTAAATTTTCAATTTTTATCAAACAATCGGTCAATTAGGAGAATGTCCGGGCGGTTGACTAGTCTAGTATAATTTTTTTTCAAAATTTTTCCAATCCGGTTGTCTACCAACGGTAGTTACCTTCGAGATTTGATGAAAGGTTACATACTCCCTTAATTTGATGAGAAAAGTAGAGCTCCCTTCATTTGATACCAATTTGATAAAAACGATTGGAATATTGTTTTCACCAAATTTTCATTAAATTTAAATTAATGAAAATTTGAGTCTAGGTTAGAGATGGTCTAATGAGTTATGCCTCTAATAAGGTGGCAAACAATTTTAATAAGAGAGAGAGGAGTTTAAAGAAAGTTGATTGGTTGATATTATTTGCTACATCGGTAGATGTGCAATTGGGGGTGATGAAATTGAGGGGCAGGGCAGTTCCCTTGCAAATATTCTTCTCAAGATTCACTTAAAATATGAATTATTTTTTTTTATTGTTTTGAAATGTATATTTCATCATTTCAAAATTTTAATTGCATAATAAATTATATCTTTTATTAATAAATATTAAGTTAATTGACAGTTTTTAATAATGTCTGAAATGTATTTCAATTAACAATTTACATAATTTATTATTGTATAAGAGACTAGATATTAAAAGGAAAATTTACTTTTTCTGTTAATTTTGTTAAATAAAAAATTATCGCAATGGGGTATTTGTAATTTTTAAAATCACAACAAGTAACGTATATTCTAAGTAAATCATAGGAACGTATTTGTAATTTACTATTTTCATTATTATTATTTATATTTATAAAAAAAATTAATAAATTTAATAATTATGACTACATGATTTGTTATAAGAATAATTAGGGCAAAAAACTCTTTATTATATTGCTTTTTTGGTATACATTTATATTGTATTTGGTTTAAGGATTTGGCAAGTGATTTGAAAGAGAAAGTGAAAGGGAAAATGTAGGTGAAATATGAATGAAATAT